TATTGCGGCGCTGCATCATGGACACGCCAGCCTGCCAAAGCCAAAGCCAAAGCGCCCCAATGCGATGCCACGAAAAAGCGATCAGCATCAGACACAGCCGCGCGACAAGCTGCTAAAGAAACCCACATAAAAACGCACAGCGCCCGGAACGCCGCGCGGCGACCACGGTGCCGTGCGGGGGTGTCTGCGTCTCCTTCTCTCTCCCTCCTCTCGGCCGACGCGGCGCGAGGGAACGCCCGCACCGACCGACGGCACACGGGCCGAGGGAATGGCCACCGCCGCCGCCGCCTCCTCGTCCTCGTCCTCCACCTCCTCCTCGGCCGGCTCCTCCGCGTCCACCTCCACGCCCCGGCCCGCCCCGCGCCAGGCGCCGCACGCCGCCGCCGCGCCGTCGTCGTCCCCGGTCTTCCTCAACGTGTACGACGTGACCCCCGCCAACGGGTACGCGCGGTGGCTGGGCCTCGGCGTGTACCACTCGGGCGTGCAGGTCCACGGGGTGGAGTACGCGTACGGCGCGCACGAGGGCGCCGGGAGCGGCATCTTCGAGGTGCCCCCGCGGCGGTGCCCCGGCTACGTGTTCCGGGAGGCGGTGCTGGTGGGCACCACGGCGCTGACCCGCGCCGAGGTGCGCGCGCTCATGGCCGACCTCGCCGCCGACTTCCCGGGCGACGCCTACAACCTCGTCTCCCGCAACTGCAACCACTTCTGCGACGCCGCGTGCCGCCGCCTCGTCGCCCGCGCCCGCATCCCGCGCTGGGTCAACCGCCTCGCCAAGATCGGGGTCGTCTTCACCTGCGTCATCCCCAGCAACGGCAGCGGCAGGCACCAGGTGCGCCGCAAGGGGGAGCAGCTGCCCGCCCCCGTCAAGAGCCGCTCCGCGCGCCAGGCCGCCGCCCCGCCGCGGCCCAGGACCTTCTTCCGCTCCCTCTCCGTCGGCGGCGGCAAGAACGTGACGCCCCGCCCGCTCCAGACCCCGCCTCCGACGCCGCCGGTGGCTCCCGCTCTGACGTTGACGACGCCGACACCAACGCCGTTGGCCTCCATGTAACGGCGCCATTACTCCTTTTCGTTTACAGCTCACACCTTCCTTTTTTTTTCCTTCGACAGTTACCTGAATTTTGTGCATAGTACTCCCCGAGATTAAGATTTGTGCTCTGCTAGTACTGCACTGTCACCATGATTACCAGTAGTAACTGCAGTTCATTAGGCTATTAATTTCCGAATTTGTCTGGCTTTACTACCTAGATACACCTGGCTGGCCGTGTGCCTGTGTCACTCTCCGCTGCCAAATCGCCATTAATGATTACTAATTTGGGTCGCTGTTACGCACTACATTTACGTTGCGGTTAACGACGTCTATCATGCAATTGTTTGTTGTGTAGCATGGATCCAATTCTATCTGGCGAGCCATCCAATAGGAATATATTCGTTCTTCCTTTCGCCCATTCTTTGGAGTAAACAACCATATGGCCGAAGTCTTGTTTGGATTTTCAACTAGATAAAAGCTGCACAAGCTAAGCCCCGACCGATCGATATGCTTTTGCTGATGCAGAGAATTCCCCGTGTCTGGACACTGCACCTGTCATCACACTGGCGTTGTCATGGGACACGATTAGATTAGTCCTCGTGTTGTTGTTTCTTGCATGATTGCGTCCGGTCCGGCCTTTGTGCCTATCTGGAAATGCGGAGGGAGGGATAATTTTAACGTGACTTGTCGCATGAAAGGCGAGCTCGCTTCGACAGAAATCTTGGGGAGCTCGCCGGTTGCGTGTCGAGCTCGCCTCGCCGTTGACCGGCGACCGGCCGGCGACGGCGTCCATGCCGGTGGAGGAGAGGGCGGCGCAGGGTCAGAACTGGGCACCGACGGGAGGAGGAGGACTCGCATTTGTGGAGGGCGCCACCTCGCAGCACAGTGCGCCACATTGACCTTGTCCCGTCCGATCAGGATGCACAAGCATTATCGATCCTTCGGCGATCACCTCGCTGGACCCCGGCCGGGCTGGGTTCGGTGCACGGGATGTGATGCCGCAGCGGCGCCTTTCGATCGGCTACAGGAGAGAAGTACGATCGCTGTGCTGTGCTGTGCTCGCCCTCTCGCCCTCTAGTAGGTCGTCGTCGAGGGACGAGAGCTACGGCCATAGGGTATGGGCGTCGTACGCGGTGCCTTTTCCCCGGCTTGTCCCCTTGCCGGCCGCTGGAATCAATCGCATCGATGAATTCATTGGGGGACTGGAAGGTTGGGTGCGGCCGGAATCATTCGTCCACGCGACGTGCCCCCCATGGCACAGGTTTTTTTTTTCGGCGGGTGGGGTTGTTGCACTTGCACTGCGCCCACGAACCGGCTGCGCTGGTGCAGTGCTGTGCTGTGCGCTGGTGCACACGCCGCCTGCGCAAATAACTCGCCGCTGCCTGGCACGGCCGGCCGCGACCGCGTCCTCTCCGGTCCCCGGATGTTGCCGGGCGCCACCGACGTGTGCCCGACTATGCTGTACTTGACTTCGTGTCTGTTTTATATGGCACGGACCTAGCCTGTATGAAAGAGAAAATGATGTCATTTTCAAGTAAGCCCAAGGATGGCCATCAGGCCACGGCCATCTCGACAACTGTATGCAGCCAATTTATACGGGTCATCGATCTTCCTTTCATGTGCCTGTACTCGCTCTGCTTTTATTAACTCTGCATATTGATTTTGTCTTAAGTCAAACTGCATATAGTTTGATCAAATTTGTGGAAAACAACGGCAGAAATCACATATTTGACCTGAGGCCGAAATCAAATCACAAACTGACCTGCTTTAAAAAAAATCACTCTGCTGACCCTTTAGTGTGGCGCCCGACAGCTAGGCGCCGCACCCTACAGTGCAGCGCCCTTCCCTTAGGCATCGCAGATCCAGCCAGCGTGGCAGCCCTGGTCCAGTTACGGCCCCACAGACAGCAGTGCAGCGCCTAAGGCTAGGGCGCCGCACTGTGTATAGTGCAGCGCCCGTGTCTTAGGCGTTGCACGTTGACTTAGGCCGCATCGGGCCAGCCCCTCCCAGACAGTTCTTCCACCTCTGAGAAGTTGCTCTCTGTACAGAGAGCGGCGGCGGCGCCCCCTTCGGATCCCCCCCACACCCCCTCTCAGATCTAAAGTTTTGAGGCCTGGATTCGATCTCCAATCCCTCCTAGTATGTAAACTCCTTCATTCCCTTTCTTTTCCTCTGTAAAACCGTTGAAATTTTAGGGATTTGCCCAAGATTAGGTGGAACTTTAGATTTACTTGGTTTGGATCTTTGTTTGTCCAAGATTGTGTGTTGTGATGGAGGATGTGTAGTCATATCCGGTAGTATATGATTCTTGTTAGTGAAACCTAGATTGTTTATTTTTTTAGATATATATGACATGCCTAGTTTTGTAGATAATTATGAGATGTTGAGTTTTGTAGCTATAGGTGAGATGTTGAGTTTTTTAGATATATATTAGATGTTGAGTCTATTTGAAATATGAGATGTTGATTTATTTGAACACATATGTCATACGAGATATATATGAGAATTTACAATCATTTATTCATTGTGTGAGAAGGAGATGTTGAGATTCTTGTAGATGAATACATATGAGATGTTTAGATGAACACATATGAAATGTTGAGTGTTTACCGATATTTGAGATGAACTCATATATGTTTATTGTTTGAAATTTGTAAGGATGGTTTGGCTTCTGGACGATGTCTACGACGTGCAACACCGGGCCTACATGATGCGCGAGAAGGAGAAGGTAATAGCTAGTAATCTAAATATTTTGCAAATTTGCCTTTAGTTGAAATTTACATGCCCTAAGATTTGTCATTACTTGTTTTTTGCAGAAGCTTGAACCTCTGAAGATTCGGTATCATGGGGTCTCTGGTCCTGCCATGCCTTACGATGAGCGGTACACACCGTACATCAAGCAGGCAGGACTACTCCCGTGGATTCTGTTGGTTAGCCGGTCCACGCCGAATCTGAACGCTCCACTCGTGTCCGCTCTTGTTGATCGGTGGAGGCCGGAGACGCACAGTTTCCATCTTCGGACTGGGGAGATGACCGTGACGCTCGAGGATGTCTCGTTGATCACCGGTCTTGCTATCGACTGGAGGCCTCTCTGTATGAGCACCGATTCTGATGGATGGCGCGAGCAGATGATTGCTCTTATCGGTATGGCTCCTACCAAGGCTGAGACTGATGTAGAGGAGGGAGAAGAGAAGAAGAAGAGGGAAAGGAAAGCAGCTGGAGCTGCTTTCACGTGGATTCAAAATAACTTTGCGACGTGCCCTCCCGATGCCACTGATGATGTGATCCAGACACATGCTCGTGTGTATATGTGGTACGTTGTGTCGAGGACTTTGTTTCCTGACTCCACTGGCAAGAACGCTCCATGGATGTGGCTGAAGGCGTTGACCGTCTTCGATAGCAAATGGAGCTGGGGTTCAACGACTCTTGCCTACTTGTACCGACAGGTAGTTGGTATGTTTTGTGATCAACTCATTTCTTCATTAGCAATGCAAGCTTGCTGTCAAGTTAACATTGTTTTTCTTTCATATGTAGCTGGACGATGCGTGTTGCAGGATCACAGATAGTGCAGGCATTGGTGGTAATCTGCTTCTACTTTCTGTATGGAGCTGGGAGCGTCTGCCTGTTGGACGCCCGAAGAGCGTCAGGTTTGATCCTTGGTATGCAGATGAACATGACAAATTACGACGCCCCACGTGGGATTACAAGTGGGATATCGTTTCCGAGATGACGAACTATGTCAATCTCATGTACCAAAAGTACATTGCCGAGTTGGACACGATTACGCCTGAGCAGGTAAGGAGGTCATTACTTCAGTCCTTTCTCATGCTTGCTTGAAAAATAGTCATCAAATTTGCATTGTTGCCCTGTTTCATAGGTGGTATGGCAGCCATATGGCACGGGTGAGAGCTTGGGGTACACCGAGGAGTTCCGCCTCAACCCGATGTGCTTGTGGGATAAGGATCTCTAGCTTATGCGGTGCCCACTGATATGCAACTGGGCGGTTGAGTTTCATTTGCCGCATCGCGTGTATCGTCAGTTTGGTCTTTTCCAGCCTCACCCGCCGGATTGGGTGGACACGGACAAAGCACTTCATAGGTAAGAGAGCATGTCTGCGTATTGTCTAAGCATCGGGACTCCTTTTGATTGTGCTAATGTTTGGTTTTATACCACGCAGGTTGGACAGGAGAAGGCAACGGAAGATAAAGGACTGGGACAAGCATCATGCTCCGTATGTTACCCGCTTCCAGCTTTCCGTGGAGCAAGCTCGTAGCACTACACGCGCCCCGCTTCGTGAGCACAACCCACTTGCTTTTGATAACTACGTATGGTGGTTTATTGGAACTACTCGAGTTGAGATATGCCCGTCGGCATATAATGAGGATATTCTTGAAGAACCCATAAACTTTGAGGATCTAGCAAAGGGGAAGTACAACAGAGATGTCAGGCGAGGGCAAGGAGTCCCTGCTGTTCCGGTGATTAACTATGTGGTAAATTGTTCCCTTCTTTACTTTCCCGTTGACCGTATTACACATGTTTGAATGGCTAACGCATTCATTCTTTCTCATCCGCAGTGCACCGAGATCAAGAAAGTAGCTGATGAGAGCCAGTCTATTCTGGAGAAGACACCGGTTGGAAACGGCAATGATTATGGTTGGTCATAGGCGTGAGTTGGAAGTGCACGATCATAAGCATAGTTCGGGCATACAAAATATCTCCGCCCTTCCGTCCATGCTTTCTTTCGGTCGGTGGACACCTTCACCTTGCAAACATCTCCACACCAACATGGTGGGATGTTGACATCTTTCTCCTTCACCTTGTCCAAAGATGCGTCCTCCCACTTGTTCGGCATGTCTTCTTGGTTAGCACACGGTGGCCTCGTCATGGAACCGGATGAAGCCATGCCTACAAAACCGAGAATTATTGGTTAACCCTAATCCCCACTTAACAATAACCACAACCCTAAGACCAACATAACCCTAACACCAACATCAAACACACATAACCCTAACCCTAGCATACTATGAAAGCCTAACCATACCAAATTAGCAAAGAAACACAAATTTCCAAATCCAAGCAAAAACTAGGGTTTCCCCAAACTAGCAAGATTTGAGCAAATGTGACAATTTCTATGGATGAAAACGAGGGGATCAGAGGAGATTACCTTAAGGGAGGGGTTGTGTCGGTGTCAAAACCGGCTGATCTCGGGTAGGCGTCCCAAACTATGCGTCTAGGAGGATGGTAACAGGAGACAAGGGACACGATGTTTTACCTAGGTTCGGGCCCTCTTGATGGAGGTAAAACCCTACGTCCTGCTTGATTAATATTGATGATGTGTGTTACAAGAGTGGATCTACCACGAGATCAAGGAGGCTAAACCCTAGAAGCTAGCCTATGGTATGATTGTTGTTCGTCCTATGGACTAAAGCCATCCGGTTTATATAGACACCGGAGAGGGCTAGGGTTACACAGAGTCGGCTACAATGGTAGGAGATCTACATATCCGTATCGCCAAGCTTGCCTTCCACGCCAAGGAAAGTCCCATCCGGACACGGGACGAAGTCTTCAATCTTCTATCTTCATAGTCTTGGAGTCCGGCCGATGATGATAGTTCGGCTATCCGAACACCCCCTAGTCCGGAACTCCCTCAGTAGCCCCTGAACCAGGCTTCAATGACGAGGAGTCCGGCGCGCATGTTGTCTTCGGCATTGCAAGGCGGGTTCTTCCTCCGAATAATTTATAGAAGATTGTGAACATCAGGATAGTGTCCGGCTCTGCAAAAATAAATTCCACGTACTCCCGTAGAGAGAATAATATTATTCAAGTTCAATCTGCTGACGTATTTTGCGGTGTAACGTCACACCACTACCAAGCCCTCAAATTGTTTTTATTGTTCCACCTCGGCGCGTTTAGCGAGGCAGTTTCCTTGGCACGTCTTGTCGAAGCAGAGATCGTGTTCCCCTTATTCCGGGATTCCCATCAATACGGACGTGGGTAACCCAACCGCGCCCGTTGCCACGCCCCCTCCATCGAAGGCGGGTTCCAAACGGTCACGGGGACGGCTCTTGGTATTCTTCCTCTTTATAACGAGACCAAGGCCCGTTCTTCTTCTTCAATCCTCTATCGAATCTGCCCCTCGCCCCGAGTTCCAACACCCAAGGCTCCATATTTGGGTATCTTCGATCTTCGACAATGTCCGGCCCCGACCTACGAGGCCGGTGGATTCCCTCCTCCGTCACGGAGGAGGACGTGCTAAAGCTAAGAGACGCCAGGTACTTAACCTACGAGATTTCGCATAGGCTGCCTGCCCGAGGGCAAGTTATTCCTACTCCCGAGTGCGGCGAGAGCGTCGTGTTTGTGTCTCACCTCCGTCGGGGTTTAGGCTTCCCGACGGATCCCTTCGTGAGGGGGCTCATGTTTTACTATGGGCTGGAATTCCATGACTTGGCTCCGGAGTCTATCCTCCACATCTCATCATTCATTGTCGTCTGCGAAGCCTTCCTCGCACTACCCCTCACTTCGATTTGTGGCTCAAAACCTTCGACGTGGAGCCGAAGGTGATTGAGGGGCGTCAGGTAGAGTGCGGAGGGGCGGTTATAAGTAAGAGGGCCGATGCTCCATGGCCCGAAGGCTCTTTTCAGGAGGAGCTCGGCTTGTGGCAATAGGAGTGGTTCTATATCACCGCTCCCAGGGGCAGCAGGCAGAGGCTGCCGCCCGTCTTCCGCTCGGGGCCCCCACAGCGGCTGCAGTCATGGGTCAACAAGGGGCGTGACTGGGGGCCATCCAAGGATGTTCCCCTGTTGCAGGACCGGATTCGAGGTCTCCAAGAAAGGGAGATCAATCTGGCCGTAGTGGTCCAGGTTATGTTGATCCGGCGCTTACTGCCCTACAAACGTCGCCCCCTCCGTCTGTGGGAATTTAATCCGGAGGGGCCACGAGCTCTCCAACACTTCATGGGTTCGACACCCGTGGAGATGTACAAACTGTTCTTCGGATCGCAAGAAATGCGTCCGGAATTGACCGAGGATGCTGGCCTAAGCTGCAATCGCCCGGATACTCAAGTAAGTAGCCCTGTGTCCGGACACATCGTCCATTTATTTACTGTGGGTTTGCCTTTTAACCAGCTATCCCTTGGACAGGAGTGGATAGCGCAAGCAAAACTGATACGGTGTCCAGCCCCCCTCCCTGAGACCACGCAGGATCCCGTGTTAATCAAAATGTTAGAGGTTGTACCTTCGGAGGAGGGCGAAGGAGGACACAAGGGATCTACCACCTCAGCCACGGAGGCTTTCAGTAAGGGAGGAATCGAGAGTCCCTCCTTCCAAGGAGAGAAGAGGACCGCTTCCGAAGACCCGGAGGTCAAGGCCTCAAAGCGGGGGAAGAAATCTGTACCGGAAGGTCCCGTGCCGGGAAGAGCCCCGGCCGATCTGTCTCCTCGGAGGAATCAGCCCTCTAGCGAGCCGTAAGTAAAAAGGGGGAATTTTGTAATAGTGAACATCCCTGTTTAATTTCTAAGGGTAACCGAAGTTTTCACCTTGTAGTTCGGATCTCAGCCCATCTCAGCATAGCTCATCTTCGGGAGACCTTCGTCCGGATATGATGGAGAGAGAAACGCCTCTATCTGCCGCCCCATCGTGCGGGGCGGACGACCCTGAGGTGTCGTCACGGAGGGTCTCCCCGAGTCCGGCGGGGCCAGAGAGTTCGGCACCCATTGGAGTACGGCCGGTGGAGCTGCATGATTTGCTTGAGAGGGCATCCATCTCAGAAGATCACCGCACATTAACGAGTATGGTGATTGAGAGGATCTCGTCCGCCGAAAGTGGGTTGTGTGAGGTCGTCGGAAGTTTGCTGACGGGATTTGAGGTACGCAAAAAATGATATACCTTTTGATAGTTTTTGCACATGAAGTGCGGCCTGTATAGATAGTAGCCCCTGAGACTTGGTATGCTGTCGAAAGCGGCAACGTGCCGAGGATCATAATCTCAGTTATATAATGTCGCCTCTCCTATGTAGGTGGCGAAACGTTCGGTGTCTAGCCGGACTGATGGAGTTGCCGAGCTTAAGAGGCAACTCGACGTTGCGGATGCGGACATCTCGCTGGTCGATAAACGACTCGATGAGTCACAAGGTGTGTGGTTGCTCTATGGTCGCCTAGTAAGGGAGCTGACGCCCATTCCTTACAATTTGTATGCCTGATGCAGATAGTGTTGCCGCTGTGGAAGGCCTTCGAGCAGAACTTGCTCGGGCCAAGGAGCAAGCCAGAAAAAGCGAGGCGGTTGCCTCGAAGGCAGCGGAAGAGCTAGAAGCCGAGAAGGCTGCTCACTGCCGAAGCAGGGAGGAGATGGCCGGAATGGCCACGAAATTAAAAGTTGCTACCGACCGCCTGGAGGTTCTTGAAGGAGAACGCCGAGCGGAGCAAGAGGACCTGAAGAAGGCCGACGCCGAAGCCAAGGATGCCCGTAGTGCGATGCGGGCTATGAAGGAGGAACTTCGTCAGATTGGAGACATTGTGGCTGGAAAGCCCTTTATGCTGCGTAGGAAGTTCACGGATCCGAAGTATGCTCAGCTGGGCCGATTGTACGGTGCGGAGGATCCTTATCTGGACTTGGCAGCGAGTGCGGCGGACGCAGTCGTGCACTTTCGAAGCCAGGAGGATCATGAAATGGAAGAGCTTTTCTGGTCTCAATTCCATAGTCTGGAGCGTCCACTTCCGTTGAGTGATCGGCTGGTTGAGTGGGCTGAGCTAAGTAGATTGTCCGGACTTGCCATGACAGATGTGGTCGCTCATCTGTGGCCGAAAAGGCCCAAGCCGAAGAGTTATTTTGGCTTGTTGCATCAATTCCTTGGGGCGGTGCCGCGTATTGGGGCGATGAAGCGGTCGGCATGCATAGAAGGTGCACGGATGGCTCTCGCCCGTGGTAAGACATACTGGGCGGAGATGGATGCCACCACTGTTGCATCCCGGGGTTCGGACAAAAGTCGATTCCCCACCGAGCACTATTTTGAGGAAGTCCTGCAGGGCGCTCGTATAATAGAGGCACAGTGCTCGAAAGATGTTATTTTTGAATGATATGTATGATTTCTGAGATCATGTTTATAACGCAATAACTTTTTATACTTGTGTGCTCAAGTATTGAACTATCTCCTGTGCGGCCGTATATGTATGAATAACCTGAAAGTTGCAGTCTTTGGCTTCAGCCCCCACGCACATGGTGCGGGGGTGTTTGCAAATAAAAAGGCACTTTTTCACACTTAATCCAACGTCTTGGTCCTTTTAGGGAGGTGATAGCGTAGCAAACTAGGCAATCGGACTATAATGCTTTATCACTTTCACTTAGCCATAGGAGCTCGAATGTGGGGCTACTATATAGCCCCTAGCGGCACCGCTCCTCTCCGAACTTCGGGGCGCGTATGTGCCTGACCGGGAAGCGGTCCTTCGTCAAAGCGGAGGAATTCTAAACATTCCAATGGTCGATCGAGTGGTTGACCAGTCTCTCGCTATATCATGACAGTCAGTTTTCGGCTTTCTCTACTAAGGTGC